CCTCCCACAGCACTCTACTTCTCTGCGGAGTCTGATCATTCATAGCAATGGCCACAGAGAACTCACAGACCCTACTCATAATTATGGTATATACACGGTATAATTCATGACCAGGAATGCTCAAGACACTGAACGTTCTTCAATCAAGACAGCTTCTTCTCAGCGATGCTTCTCACTTGTGCTTCTCTCTGATCCTCTGCCTAGTCCCTGCCCTGCTTAGGTGTTATAAAGCTTAAAGGCACCCTGCTCCCCCAATAAACCTCAGCCTGAAAAGTGCTCAGCTTCTGCTCTCCAGACAAATGTCAGTTTCTCACCATCTTGGGTATAATAGCTCTCTGGCCCCTACATTTAGATGGCCGAGCTCAGAGATCTACCTCTTATTTCTAGACGGTACCTCCTTTCTACCTGTGAGATAGATCATTTTAAATGTTAACAGGAAGGCAAACCTGACCAACCCCCTCATTAGGATTCTACATGTTATTTGTATGATCCCACCCCACAAGAATGCCATGTACTGTATTTACACTTTTAGCAAGTTATCCAATCCATTTGGTGGGCCCACAAGCACCTCGCACTTGCACAGTTCTGCTAACTGGTGCCGTGGTTATGCGCTGAGCTACTATCCCCATAGTCAGAAGTTAGAAACCACCAGCAGCTTCTCAGGAGAAAGACTGGGCTTTCCACTCCCATAAACAGCTACAGTCTCAGAAACCCGCCGATTTAATGGCAGTGAGTTTGGTTTCCTTAACCAAAGACCATAGCTATCCAAAACAAACAAACAAACAAACAAAAAATGACTGTAGCTTTAAGGACCATATCAAATAATTCACTGTGCCGCATAACTTTTGTACTCTTTAAATCACTTCTACATTACACTAGGTAGACTGTAAAATAAATGAGTTTTTATTGACTTCACCAGGATTATAAGGACATGTGTATCATCTAGCTCAGAAGCAACAAAGCCCACATGGAAGAAGCACACCAGCCTGTGTGATCACGAGGTGCCAAAGGGCTCAGTTATCAGGCATCAAAGAACAAAAAACCATATCATTGTGTGCTCACCTCCATGATACGATCGCTGAAGACAAATGGTGCATAAGCAAATATGGCAACGAAAGCTGATGGTGCCCGGCTATCAAAAGATAGAGCATCTGGGGTCTTAAAGGCGTGAAGGTAAACAAGCGGCCATCTAGCTCAGAAGCAACAAAGCCCACATGGAAGAAGCACACCAGCCTGTGCAATCACGAGGTGTTGAAGGGATCAGGTATCAGGCATCACCAGAACAAACAATCTTACCATAGTGAATAAGGGGGAGGAGTGTAAACTGGAGACCCAAAGCCCATTTGTAGGCCACTGGACATCCCCTTACAGAAGGGTCTCGGGGAGGAGAGGAGACAGTCAGGGTGCGATATAGTAACGATGAAACAAAAAACTTTCCTCTAGTTCCTAAATGCTTCCTCCACCCCCATTATCATGATCCCAATTCTACCTTACAAATCTGGGGAGACCAGAGTATGTACACTGGTACAGATAGGAACTGGAAACGCAGGGAATGCAGGGCGGATGATCCTTTCGGGCGGATGATCCAGTGGTGTCAGTGGCGATACTGGGAGGGTGGGATGTAAAGAAGGAACCGATTACAAGGATCTACATGTGACCTCCTCCCTGGGGCACAGACAGCAGAGAAGTGGGTGAAGGGAGACATCAGACGGTGCAAGATATGACAAAATGATAATTTATAAATTATCAAGGGTTCATGAGGGGAAAAAATGAGGAGCTGATAGGGGCTTAAGTGGAGAGCAAATGCTTTGAGAATGATGAAGGCAATGAATGTACAAATGTGCTTTACACAATTGATGTATGTATGGAGTGTTAATAAGGGTTATATGAGTCCCTAATAAAACAATTAAAATAAATAAATAAATCTTAAGCCAAAAAAAAAAAAAAACCCCAAAAAACAGGAGTCCCAACTAAGGAACTTTTAGACTGTAAAACATTTAAAAATGTGAGAATTCCATGACTTAATAAATTTCCTTAACTTTTTATTTTGCTATCATGCAACATTTCTGGACAACCTCTTCTTCCAACAACAACAAAATCTGCCTACTTCCACACCAAAATTGGATAGGCCAACTGGAAATTGTACTCTCCTTAGTATTATACACTATCTTTAACTTTTAACTGTAAATCACATAAGGAGCACCTTTTGTTACAAATGCAAATAGCTTACATTAAGGCACTATACAGTCACCAAACACTAATTTAACATTATTGCAAAAGAAGGGTTAATAAACACTAAACATCAGAAAAATTTCCTCATAGAATAGCACACTCTTAAAACTGCCTTATTGTCAAAAACTTGGCCAGTAACTGCCCATGCTTCACACAATCACAGGTAGTCAAAGACATGGGAAAAACAGTTTGGATTAAGTGTCTTTTTACCATGTCATACAAGAAAACAATTTTATATGCAAAACTAATTCTAAGATCAAAAATTCATTTCTGAATATTTAAAGCTGAGGCCGCCTTCAGAGGACCAACTGCTTTGGTGTGCTGGAAACCAGCAATATAGTCATGCTCACTCTCTTATGTGGGCTAGAACCCAATGCCCACAGGAGCCCTGGTAGCCTAGTGGGCTCCTCCTTTGGACTGCAACCCAAAGGTCCAGCAGTTTGAACCCACTAACTGTCAAACTTGACAGCCTAGGAGCCCACGGGAGCAGTTCTAACCTTGTCCTATGTGGTCCCTGTGAATCCTAATGGACTCAATGGCCATGAGTTTGGCTGACCCTCCCATCAAGACAAGGCAGAACAAAGGAGAGAACAGGTTTATAGTTCCACTTCTTAATGTAATGCCTGACTTAATCAAAGCCAGTTTTGTAAGCTGAACAGGGATCACTGCTTTAAAGTAACCATATCTAGGATAATACTGGTTTGCATTACCTAGGAAATGAGGCTGCTGTAGCTCAAGTTGTTAATAATAAAATGTAGCAGCCAAGGCTGCTGAAATGACTGGCATTTATCTGTGAAATCATTTATCCTGGGTTTTTTTTGTTTCTTTTTTTCAAGACATGTAACTAAAATTCCACAACAGGCGTATTTTAAAACATAAGGCTATTAAAGATCTGAATTATAATGCTCAAGTTAAACCAAAGTGTTAATAATTCTTATAGGTAAATTATTCTTATGAAAAATGAAACAACAGCTAAACCCATATTTTGGGGAAAGGAGAATTACAACACTTAACAAAATACACCAACCTGAAATACTGAGACAACAAGTAACAAAACTGTATTATTTTAAAAAGCTTATTCATCAGATCTAATTATATATATATATATATTTTTTTTTAGTCAAGAGGTATGGCATTATTTTAAGGACTGAGAAACCGATCAGTTTCTTGAGGAGTACCTTTGAAAATATGTACACAAACGGAAAATAAAGTTAGGCCTCTTATACAATGTGTAATTTCTTCATTATGATGGAATGCAACAAAATATCCTGCCCTTGGGTTGCTCAGTTTCAGCCCAAACAAATGCAAATGGCTTGACAGATGACAGCTGTTTGATAAGGCTTCTCTACAAGACCTGCATGCTTTACTTTTTTCCGTGAAACTTGGGATGAAAGGCAGAAGGCAGGAAGAGAATTAATGTAGCATACAGTCTAAAGGCAATGCTACAACCGTGATTAAGTAGAAAAGTTAAAAGGCACAGATTTTCCACAGCTTCGCTGCGTGCAACCCATCCGTGTAACAAGTTGACAGGCCTAGCGCATCAGCTCCATCATCCTCTCCGACAGCTAAAACGCAGCATTGCATCCCTTTTCAGAGAAAATTTGCGTCTGCACCATGAAGCGTTGTACATTATTTCTTAGCACTGCAGGGGGCTCAAGTCCATATGGAACCTTCACAAATATTACCACAGATCAAACCAGCGGCGTTGGAGGCAGATTTGACATACCTATTTAAATGAACAGCAGGGGTCCCCGGGCAGCCGCAGGCTGTGCAGGAGAAAACCTCAGCGGAAAGCCGGGGCTGCAGCTCCATTACTCAGCAAAGACACCCTCTACATGTATCATTCATTTCATTTCTGCCAGGGCAAGAAGCTCATTTGCCCAAGGTCAACAAAAAGCAGGGAGAAAAAAGAAAGCCGCCCCACCTCAAAGAAATAAATGTACCTGACAAGTGGGGGTTTTGTCCTTTGGGTTTGTGGAGCACAAATAAACATCAGATCATTCTAAAAAGCAGAGTAAACGTTTGCACCGAATTTAAACAACTGGAATCGTACAGTGGATTGGGGAGAGGGAGAAAGAGCCCAATAAATATTTCTGTAACTTTTAAGAATCATCTGAAGAATGAGATAAAACTTGGTATCGTGGTTTCTGTCATTTACAACTGGATATTAGGTAGCATTCAACCTTTTCCTTTCCCATAATTATTCTGGGAGACCGTTCCAAATTTGCACTATCAAACACAAGCTCTGAAAACAAAACAGAGCTATCCACAATATACTCAAATGCATTTGGAGGTCAAGATGTAAAAAAAAATCGTTTCTGAGGTTGTGTTCTAGGGTCCAAATTCTAGACTCATACACTGCCTTAACCTATGAAACATGAAAAAGCTGTCTATCAGCAACAAAGACAAAATACAGGTAACTACATGACTCTCTCCAGGTAAAAGCAGCTGACTAACACAATCTGACCCTATGCTGCCTAATTTCTTAACATGAATGCACTGTTGAGTGGAACAGCTACCTCCTGACATAATTTCAACCTGTAAATAACTTCATTTAAAGGACAAACTATTGTGATATAAACGCTATAGTCATCTTTAGTAAAAGCAAATAAAACGTAAAACCTTTGAGCATACTACCTTACCTCTAGAAGTCTTCTTTTTATTAAGAAAGTATTGAACAAGTTCTTAAGTTTCTAAGAAAAATCACTGGTATAATTAGTTACTTGGCTTACAATGAATACTTGTTATCATAACTGCGATATACTTACATGCATTAATGAATAATATGATTGCTTTCCAGTGTAAAAGAGAAAGTGAAATGGACGGCCATCTTCTCCCCACTGGATTGCTAATAAAAAGCCAAATGAAAACAGGTAAATAAAAATAAAATATTCATATAGAGACCAAACAGCTATATTTAATCAGTTATAAGCCTTTTGATTCTTGTTAACTTTTAAAATGACAAAAGAAAAACTACTAATATTTATTTTAATATTTAGGTTAGCATATTTAACATGGTATTAAGCATATGTAATACTTTATACCCATGACATAAAAGCCTTTATATTTAACAAAATATTCCCAAATATTTCATTATGAAAATTCCCAAAATTCGTTTTAAATAAAGGTACATGAAAAATAGAATCACCTTTAACAAAAATTTATGCTCTGAGGGGGGGTTGGGGAGGGAGGGGGAAAAAATGAGGAGCTGATACCAAGGGCTCAAGTAGAAAGCAAATATTTTGAGAATGATGATGGCAACAAATGTGCTTGACACAATGGATGGATGGATTGTGATGAGTTGTATGAGCCCCCAATAAAACGATTTTTAAAAATGTATGCGCAGCTGTAAATATAATACACTCACATAGTAGTAACAGGCATAATATAACTAAGGGGGAAAATGTATTTTTTATGCCACATCATCTGTCCTCAATCCTGCAGTGACATACCTCTGGGCGGAGTTAGATCACCCTGCCGAAAAAAAAAAGAATCTCCAAAGTGGTCACGGCAACCTCTTGTGGAATGCAGGTGCTGGTTCACAGCTGCTAACCACACACCCTTGAGAAAAGGAGTTACTCTAGGGACTAACGCAGACTACAAATCCATGTCCTTCACCGATATTAGGCTGTTTTGTTAACTATTTTTAGGACAATGGTATAACGATAATATTCCTTTGAACATTAAATGAACTGGAAAATACTTTCTCCTAAGTTTTTTTTTTTTTTGGCTTACAGTGGTTTTCATCCTCAGAAAGTTCAAAATATGCATATAAAAATTTTACATTGTAAAATCTGCCACTTTTCTTCTATTTGTTTCAGGACCATCTTAACTCTACATTATTATTTTTACTGAGGAGTTGTTTTAAGTACTTTTCTCCCTCATCTCCCTTACAATGTAATTTTAAGACCACGGATACTCTGGCTATCTGTTGCTGTAGTGTAATCCCTCGACGGCAACAAGTCCTTGTCATAGCTAGGATTTTATCACCCTCCACAAATCAGTCTTCATTCCTTTGACTTTATCACCCCCACTGAGAATGCAGATCTAAGGCTTTTGGGCTTTCAAAAACTATTGCTCTATTTTTTTCTCTTGAAAAAAAATTTTTTTTAATGTTTTCATATTAAAATATTTTATCTATCTGGAATGTATTTCTGTGAGGCAGAGAGATATTTTATCCAGCAAAGAAGAGTCATTACTCCAATATACTTGTTTTGAAGAGCGTACCCTTTCCCTAGCAAAATGCTGCCTGTATCATAGATAGGTTGTCTTTCTTCCCTGAGGATAATTAGTACTAAATATAACGGTGGTGTTATTACTGTTGTTAGGTGCCATTGAACTGGTTCCAAATCATAGCGACCCAATAATATACAATAATGAAAGCCTGTCAGGTCCTATGCCATCCTTGAGCCCCTTGTTGCAGCTACTGTGTCAACTATCTCTCAGGATCGACCTCTTTTACCACCCCTCTACGTTACCAAGTCTGATGCCTTTCTCCAGGGACTGGTCCTTCAGATAACGTGTCCAAAGTACAGGAGAAAAAGTCTTGCCCTCCTTGCTTCTAAAGAACATACTGGTTGTACTTTTTCCAAGACAGATTTGTTTGTTCTTTTGGCAGTCCAAGGTACTTTCAACATTCTTCACCAGCACCATAATTCAAAGGCATCAATTCTTTTTCAGTTTTCCTTATTCATTGTCCAGCTTCCACATTCATATGCGACGAATGAAAATATAGTATCTGGCCATTTGAAGGTGAATACACTTAAAATAGATATAAAATTGTCATAATAAACAGTGAGGTAGGGGGAGGATCTGATTGGGAGTTTGGCTTGAAAAGTAAAACTAGAGTCCCATTTGCCAATGACTTTGTGAATGAATTAAGGAGTTCTCCAAGATCATTTTCACCAAGTTCTACGTGTTTTCCAATATTTGTAACATCAGAATGTAATCAATTTTGATGCAGTGTTAAGGTAAGCAGCAAGACAGTGACCAAGAAAGGCAGACATCAGGGATGGAGATAAGACTCTACTGGAAAGTTAGGACAGATTCTTGGGCTGGGTCGTTCTATAAATGAACAATATAGTGGTCACTATTTTTATGTTTTGACTACTTTGGAAACTTCACAACTCTAAGAACTGATTATGGGAATCGCCTGAACTAAATTATATATATATGTTATTTCATTGAACATAAAATGTCATACATGTCTCATCAAGTGCTATAAATTAAGTATTGCAAAAGAAGAAAAGTTGTCAAATAATATTCATCACGATAGACACAATGACCTGGGTCCAGGATCTAGCTCTGTTATTTCCTGTCTTTAGTTCCCACAAATGTATACTGAGGGAATTAATAGGCCTACTGATTAAAACTGTTGGGTAGATTAGGAATTAATACAGGCAAAGCACTTAGAAGTGTGTTTAACCCACTCTAAATTTCCTCTCTACCCAAACCCCCAGCATTAGGTCCTCATTTTCCCCCTCCCTCCCCGCTCCCCCCTCCCTCATGAGCCCTTGATAATTTATAAATTATTATTTTGTCATATCTTTCCCTGTCCAACGTCTCCCTTCACCCACTTCTCTGTTGTCCGTCCCCCGGGGAGGAGGTCACATATAGTTCCTTGTAATCGGTTCCCTTTCCAACCCACTCTCCCTCTACCCTCCCAGTATCACCACTCACACCACTGGTCCTGTAGGGATCATCTGCCCTGGATTCCCAGTTCCTATCTGTACCAGTGTACATCCTCTGGTCTAGCCAGACTTGCAAGGTAGAATTCATATCATGGTAGTGGGAGTGGGGAGGAAACATTTAGGAACTAGAAAAAAGTTGTATTTTTCATCATTGCTACATCGCCCCGACTGGCTCGTCTCCTCCCAGAAACCCCTCTGCAAAGGAGTCTCCAGTGGCCTGCTAATGGGCTTTGGGTCTCCACTCCACACTCCCCCCATCATTCACTATGGTAAGATTTTTTGTTCTGATGATGCCTTGTACATGATCGCTTTGACACCTCGTGATTGCATAGGCTGGTGTGCTTCTTCCACGTGGCTTTGTTGCTTCTGAGCTTGATGGCCGCTTGATTACCTTCGCCACATTTGCTTATGCACCCATTTGTCTTCAGTAATCTGTTCGACACCTCGTGATCACACAGGCTGATATGTTCTTCCACATGGACTTTGTTGCTTCTGAGCTAGATGGCTGCTTGTTTACCTTCAAGCTTTTAAAACCCCAGACGCTATATTTTTTGATAGCCGGGCACCATCAGCTTTCTTCGCCACATTCGCTTATTCACCCACTTTGTCTTCAGTGGTTGTGTCGGGAAGGTGAGCATCATAGAATGCCAATTTAATAGAAGAAAGTATTCTTGCTTTGAGGGAGTACTTCAGTGGAGGTCCAATGTCCTTCTGCTACCTTAATACTAAACCTATAAATATAGGCACACAGATCTATTTCCCTATCCTCATATATATTTGCATATGTACCTATCTTTATCTAGACCTCTATAAATGCCCTTTGCTTCCCAGCTCCTTCCTCTATTTCCCTTGATTTTCCTCCTGTCCCACTATCATGCTCAGTCCCCACTAGGGTTCCAGCAATTCCTCTTGGTTACATTACCCTTGATCATGCCCTACCAGGCCTCCCACACCCACCTCACCACCAATTTGGATCACTTGTTGTTCCCTTGTCCCTGGGTTTGTTAACACCTCTTCCTTTCCCCCCACCTCATCCTTGCCCATGTCCCCCTGGAACCGTCGGTCCTGTTGTTTTCTCCTTCATATTGTTCATCCATCCTATCTTATTTAGACAGACCCGTGGAGACAATAACATGCACAAAAACAAGACAGAGCAATTTAGTTCTTATGATGTATCCCTATTCGATATTGCTCTTATGAAGAGGTCACTACAGCAAAGAGTGGTGAAGAAAGATGGTGCTTGGGTATCAGAAGGAATTCTGTCTGGCGTTAAATGCTTGTTTTAAAAGTCATCTAAGTGAGCTATTTGCTAAGTCTGCAAAGGAGAAGCACACCAAGCAGCATAATCAAAGAATTATTAACAATACAAACCAAGATCAGAGGGGCAAGACTATAGCAGAGGTTAAATTCCAAGCACCTGGTTTGCAGAAGTCTATGACTGACAGCAAAAGCCCCAAATCCATTGACATTAAGTGCCTCCACATGGCCTAAGTCTCTATTGAATTCCCTAGATCCATGGACCAAGGAGGTGGATAGTCTTGCCTCCATACTGAATGCACTGCTGGAATGTGCATTACTACAGATACAGTTAGGGTAAAATTCAACATCTTATCAGTTATTTTTTCTTTTAGACCATTAGCAACTTAGTCTGGCTTTTATTATATTGTTCTATGTTTTGGACTGAGGTTTCTTTGTGTTTTATTCTGTGGTAGCTGCTGTTGTTTTGTTTACTGTTTGATATCTATCTATTTATTTATACATACTTGAATGATTTTCTTTAAATGAAACTCACTCAGGATAGATGAACCAAATAGTGTTTTAGTTTTATGACAGGGGAAGTTGAAAGCAAGCAGGGAGGTAATAATAATAATAAATACAAGAATGAAGAAAATGTTCTGAAATTGAGGTGAATCCACAACTCTGTTTACTTAAATACTGAATTGTATGCTATGTGAATTATATGTTACCAAACCTGTCAAGAGATCAAATGACACACTGCATTGGATAAATCTGCAGCACAAAAGCTCTTTAAAGTGTTGAAAAGCAAGACGCAGGTGTGCCATGGTATTTTCAATCATCTCGTATGCATGTAAAAGTTGGACACGGAATAAGGAAGACCAAAGAAGAATCAACGCATCTGAATTATGGTGCTGGCAAAGAATGTTGAATGGAGCGTGGACTGTCAAAGAACAAACACATCTGTCTTGGAAGAAGTACAATCAGAATGCTCCGTAGAAGCAAGTTTGGCAAGACCTCATCCTTTGTACTTTGGAGGCTATCAGAAGATAACAATCCCCGGAAAAGGGCATTGTGCTTGGTAAAAGAGAAAGCTCCTGAACAAGATGTACTGGCATAGTGGCTGCAACAATGGTCTTAAACATACCCAGGCAATGTTTCATTCTGTCATACATAATAGGGTTGCTGTGAGTCAGACCTAACTCAATGGTACCTAACAATAAAACGGTTTTAAAAGTTTTTTTTCATATAAACTAATGCAGAAGGATTTTACTGCCATCATAACTACTCCAATCTGTTCCTGGAAAAGATCTATCAGTTACTATGCAAAAAACCCCCCAAAAAACCAAATGGGACACCATTGGTAAACGCTGAAAGAAAATTTGAAGCACCTACTGGTGAAGACCAAAGACTACAACCTTCAATATAGATTACTCTCGACATAAGAAAAACAAAAATCCTCACAACTAGACGACTAGGAAGCATCAGACAAGGGGAGCAAAGATGGGCGCGAAGGGCTTCATTTTACTTGGATTCACAGTCAACACCCAAGGAAACAGCCATCAGGAGACGGAAAGCCATATTGCATCAGGCTAATCTGCTGCAAAAGATCTCTTGAACGTGTTTAAAAAAAGATGTTACTTGAAGACTAAGGTGCACCTGATCCTAGCCATAGTATTATTAATCACCTCCTATATATGTGAACGAAACACAAAGCATAACGATGACTTTGGAAGAATTAATACTTTTAAATCATGGTGTCAGTGATGAACATTAAGCATCCATGGACTGCCAGAGAATGAACTAGTGGGAGAAATAAAGCTGCTATGCACGTCTGTTAGAAAGGAGGATGGTGAAACTGTCTCACGTGTTTTGTGTATGTCAGCATGAGGGGGTCAGCCAGTCCCTGGAGAAGGACATCATGCTTGGTAGAGGGTCAGTAACAAAAAAAAATGAGGACAAACTTCAACGAGATGAGTTGACACAGTGGCTGCAGCAAAGGGCTCAAACACAGCAGCAGTTGTGAGGACAGACTGAAGAAATATTTTTTACCCACTTCACAACTATCATAACCCCGGATAGTCTCCACTCCATGTGAAGAGGCTGCTGATTTGCAGCACACCACTGTAGTAAAGAAAAAATTGCTTAGTCCCTTCTTGTATACACTTACCTCTTTGTTTTGGAAAAATGTGGTCAGGATGCTGTAAAATTAAAAAAAAAATTGCATTAGATAATTACTGTAACATATAAAACTAAATGAAATTATAAAAATATTAAATAAGATAACAACCTTCATTACTGGCCGGGCTCGCTTCTCAAACAAACCACTCGGAAAAAGGTAAACAATAGCTCTCTGAAAATATACACAAAAGTTAATTAGCAATGCATAAAACCAAGTTAACCTTATAGCTCACAGTTTTGTGACCTTATCACATGCTACCGAACTAAGATTTTCATATACATTTCACTATATTAAAAATGTAAGAAAATATCCTTGACACTATACACATGGCAAGGGTAAAGTAAAAACAATAAGCAGCTATCTATTAAGGGATAACTGAGGGGAAAGGTGAGAGGCATAAGGATGATAACATGGCTTCTCAGGGTATAACTCTATGCAGTTAAATTTTGAACCATGTAAAAATTTAATATGTTGAAGATTAAATTTTTCAAAAGAAGCACTAAGCTTTTAAAGTCTAACTTAGACATATTGATATAAACTCATCTTTTAAAAAACCATTTCCTAGTTCTGTTCCTCAAAAAATAAAAGCATAGAAGTAACAAAAGTAATTACCCTCCAAAACGATGGGGGGTAATTAACACCCAATTCTTGGCTACGAAGTACCACTTCCCAGCATAAGAAACCGTTTCCTTAGAGAAATGGCTGGTTCTAGGTCTGGATCTAGGTCTAGATCTAAATGAGCTTAGGATATTCATTATCCTGTGCAAGCAAATAAGGTAATGCCTGAAAGGACACAGAGCCAGACTGAGCGGATTCCCACGGGCCAAACTTGGGATGTTCAAATTATGGGCCCACTAGATTTCAGCCCTCATCCTCACAGGAGAATATGGCAGCCCTTGTGAAATGTGGGCCCCAAGCCTGGCTGTACATTTCAGCAGTAGGGCTGTTGAATCCAAAGTCTGAGGGTTAGAAGCCCAGAAAACATGAAGGACGAAGTACAACTCTCCTACGTGGAGTGCACTCATCACAAGCACAAGGGAGACGACAACTGAGCAAAGGCCACTGGCATCATTTTCATATATGGAAATTACCATCACTAATTCATAATGTAGCAATCACTGACTAGAGTCCTAGAAGAAAAAGAAAATGCAGATAATTCTATTGCACTGTTGAACTTAACTTAAAAACTAAGACTCAAGAAATTCATGAAAAATTGTAGAACCTAAAAATTCAAAAAGAAATGAGTAACAAGAGTAAGCTAAAAGTATTCTAAAATGCGCCAAAAAGGTCAGGAAAAATACTTTCAAGAAAAACACCCTAAAAACACAGTCATATTATGTGTATGCACATATATGTAAATAAATGTTTATTTTCCCAAGATTGACACAGTGTCTTCACCAATGGGCTCAAGCAAAACAATTGTGAAGATGGTACAGATTAGGTACTATTTAATTCTGTTGTTCAGAGGTTTGTTATGAGTGTGTGTGTATGTGTGTGTGTGTGTATCTTTGAAGATTGTAGAAAAGGTCTATAGAGCAAAACTCATCATGTCAGAAAAAGGAAAAATCACAAATCAGTAAAAACAATAAAAAGCAAAGGAGAATAGTAAATAATAAGCCAATTGCTCTTTAGACTAAAACACACATCCAGAATAGAGAAGAAACATTCCCAGCATGCTGTCATCTGTTTAGTATGCAGAGAATGTTACTAACATGACCCCAACCTATTCCATTTATCTCCTATGGGCATTCTAAATAGATTTCTTAGAAATTCTGAAGCAGACAAAGGACTACCTTGATTTTATGAAAACATAATTTTGTTGCTTTCTGTGTCTGCTTAACTCCCAGTTAACACACACAGTTGTGAAAACTCAAGTAGGTAAATACCCTTTTGGAATAAATAGCGACTATTTTTAAGAACAAAGAAATTTGGGATTGTAGCATTGTTGAACAGCCTATGGATACATTCTGGGTTGAACATTATGAGCTATAAAATAGTAGAAACCCTTATTTCCATCCACATTTCAGAATTTAGAAAAAAGAGTGGTGAACATAAAAACAGGACAAAAGTATAAATTAACATAAAATCTGCATTTTGTCTTACTATAGCTATAAGAATATTTCTCAGGTATCAATCCTCCTGATTCTGATTTATAATGACAGTGACATTATCTGGCTGTTGTGAGGATTAGATAAAGTATCTCTAAAAGCATATTCTCTAGAGACCAGTCTCTAGAAAAGGACATCATACTTGGTACAGGAGCGAAGACCCTCGACAAGATGGATAGGCACAGAGGCTGCAACAATGGCCTCAAACGTAAGAACAACTGCGAGGAAAGGGCAGGACCGGGCACTGTTTCCTTCTGTTGTAGACAGAACCTATCACACAGCAGATACTCAATAAATAGAGCCTGACAGGCATTAGCAATTCGTATAAAGCACCACTCCACATTATTTGAAGACTAATAAATAGCCGTGCATTCATTAGCTCTATTCTCTCGTATATACAGGGTCACTATGCGTCAGAACTGACTCCATGAACCCTATTAACAATAGAGAAAGAAGCAATTAGTAAGAAGTGAATCCAAGACTGTTGAAATCAATGGCAAGGCTAGCACCTGAACTTCTTAAATTGGAAATTGTGCTTTTCTTTGCCTATGCCAGGCAACCAAGCTTTTCCTGTTTGTCAATATTAAGAATATTCAGGCATTTAGTACCAAGATGGGGAAAATAATCCATATATTCCTAAAGGAAAAGAAACCAACCAATTAACTTCACAATTTTTAGTCAACAAGTATTTATCATACCTACCATGGTTTAAACCATCTATTAGTCTAGAAAGAGGGAGATATTGGCCCTAGTGGTGCTGCTCGATAAACTATGAACTACTAACCACAAGGCTGATGGTTCAAATCCACCAGGTACTGCATGGGAGAAAGAGGAGACTGAGCTGTCTGCTCCCAAAAGGATTTACAAGCAGGCATCCTCAAACTATGGCCCGAGGGCGACATGCGGCCTGCTGGGAACATTAACCGGCCAGCCGGGTGTTTTTGCCCATTTGTTTTTTTACTTCAAAATAAGATATGTGCAGTGTGCCTAGGAATTTGTTCATAGTTTTTTTTTTAAACTATAGTCCGGCCCTCCAACGGGTCTGAGGAACAGTGAACTGGCCCCCTGTTTTAAAGTTTGAGGACCCCTGCTCTACAACCTCAGAAACCCTACAAGTAGGAATCAACTCAATGGCAGTGGGTTTGAGTGTTTGTTATTTTTTAGGAGTAGAGATAAATGAGTAATTGCAAACATGAGTTGTTGTAATATTATACCTGAAATAATAGAGTATAATAAAACACCAAGCACAGGTCCTAGCTAAAAACACAGATCTGCTAACTGAAGGCACAAAGGTCAACTAGCTAGTCACTTCTTCTCAGTAATGTGCCTACCTGATTCTGCAGTCATTGCTTTCTTTTATTAGTTGGAATTTATATATATATAATCATTCCATATTTCAATCACATCAAGTGGAATGTACAATGGCTACCAGTTTCCAAACACACAGAGTCCTTAACATCATCTCCCTTTTACCCCCCACCGCCATTGTAACCTCACCACCCCCAACCCCGAATTCTACTTGCTGTCCGATAGGTTCATCAACCCTGGGCTTCATATACTGAAAAACAGAAAAGCTTATAACACAGCTTGAAGAGGTCACAGCTCTGAGAGACTCTGATCTGAACACATTTCTCCTATCTTAACCAGGGCCTTTACAGACTGCTCCCTCTGTGTGGACTATCTGTTATTCTCTTTCTCCATTTAACACACTCCTGTGTTTGTCTTTCAGAGGAGCTGCTCTGAGGGAGAAAGAATGGGCTTTCAACTCCCATAAAGAATCTCGGAAACGCTGTCCGTAGGGTTGACTCGGTGGCAGTGAGTTCGGCTTCTATTTGACTTTCAAGGCCTCCATCAAATGTAATCTCGGATGAGACGCCTTCTCCGAGTCCCCTTCTCGGGCACCTCGTTGGCACTCCTCTCTAGTTATGCTTCTCTTTTGGCACGGTCCCTGCTGCACTTCTGCTTGCTCACCTCCCTCACAAAAAAGAGGACAAGGCTCTTTCGGGCCCACACCATCTGGGTATTTTCTTCTCTCCCCATCCTGCTCACTCCGAGTCTTCCTTCCAAGTTACTCCCCAGCACTCACACAGGACTGGCATTCTTGCCTTGTTTTCTTTTTCCTTTTCACACCGACTGCTGCCATCTTTGTGGATGCGCAATGCAATGTAAGATTCCTGGGTTCCATCCAGGCCAGTAAAGCAACTTTTACTTCTCACTTCCATCCCTGTCCTTAGAGGCACTCACCTAGTGTCAGAAGCACCCCCTATTCTTTCCTTCCCTAGTTTCAAGCTGGCTACTACCAACATGCCTAGTCTGCAATTGCTTCTTCAGGAGTTGCTGAAACAACTATTTTCTATAATTCTAAATTCCAAATTACTCTAATAGTCTTTCTCAACTGTTTTCAAAACCATTTCTTCAGGTATCAGTTTCAAGGAAAAACACAGTAAAAACATAACTGCAGGCTGATACTACTTATAGCTCCAGAGCATTTTTCCCTTTACATAACACAAGGAAAAACATTCAGATTCTAATAAATGCTTCCTGTGATGACAGAAATAGTCTATATAACATGCTGTCCACTAAGCAGCCAGTGGCCCATGTGGCTATTGTGTACTTGGTATACAGGCGTAAGCCAAAAAGGATTGCTCTTCGGAATCACAGGAACCAGTCTCCATAACCTTCTGGGCTGACATCTATGCCCTGAGTTTCACTGGCCAGCAGATCCCCTCAGAAGCCACTATTATAACTGGATTTTTGGGAATGGTCCATGCGTCTAAGACAAGTGTACTACTGAAAGAACTTTGCAGTCATCTACTGGCTGCAGTACCATATATATTTACCCTCCTATGGCCAGTGCAACTGAGGGCCTGAACTTTTTATTTGATTTAATTTTAATCTATTTATTTTAAATAACCTTACATAGCTCGTGGCAATGATACAGCTCTAGCCTGTTGTAACTGACGTCTCTCTGCAACATCGTACCACACTAATTGTACTTTGTTGCATTTCAGCAAGGTTATAAATTCCATTCCAAGACCAGACTCACGGCCATCAAGCCAATTC